ATGTTTTGTATAGATATGTTGTGGAAATATTTTCCAAGGCCCATAACTTTGACCCAGTTTATCAGTTTGTAATGACTTCACTGAGCTCAGGCACCTCTAGCCTTTGGTGCTGTGCTCTGTGTGTTTTGTCTTCCTGTTCTTGCCTGTTGGCGTCAGCTGATAGAGGTGTTATTGTGCTTTGCCTGTTTTATCTTGTTATGCAGCATGTTGATTATTCTCTCAGAACCAGCTAAATACATGGGTCTGGGGTAGAGATCTTCAGAATTGGTTTGGACACGACATGTCTTGTGAATCCTCCGGCCCAAGCTCCAAATAAACCATCAGTGTTTGCCATCAAAGTTCCTGCGTTCCTGCTCTCCTCGTGTCTCTCTGAGTCCTGTCTCCATTGCTTCAGAAGTCTCCATCACAAATATATTGTTCAAATATAGCATAATAGGTGACCTTTAAGGAAAGGTCATTTTCATCCGGCTGATAATTACAGTAAGCATTCTCGTCATTTATGTACAGTAGCAGCCTCCTCACTGAGGACCACCCCACCCAGACAAACGTTTGCCAAACGGGAAATTGTTCCAGGATAAGGGGTTTCCATGGAGACCAGCCTTAAATTCTGATGTGTCAAGCTTGCATGGTGTACACAGATGCAGACACACACACATAGGTGTGATGTTGTACAGCGGTGAGAACAATGACACACAGCATTGATTTCCCACCCCGCTGCCAAGATGAGGTTAAGAAATTGCTTCGACACGCTGCTAACAATTACCACTCTATTAGAGCGGCAAGATAGTGTAGAGAACAACTTTACAGCCACACTCACACGCACACACTGCTGGCATCGGGCCATCCACACATTCACTATTACTACAACTACTAACACACACAGACCAATGTGGGAGGTGGGTACGGTAGAGAGTGAATACATTTTTGGTAATGTGATTTTTTTTAGTCAAATGGCACAGAGCAAGAAGCAGAGCCATTTATCGAAAAAATATCCAATTAAAAGAGCCAACGAGGGGAAATGTAGGATTACTTTAATACAATGAACACATAATCATTATTGAAATGGTTAAGGCCAAAAATGCAAATTGGCCACCACCCTCTGACTCGTTTTCATACGGAGACATATTGCTTTCCTTATCTTCCTTGATTTCAAAAAGAATTCCCTTCTTTCATTGCTGGAAGGATTATGTCATCAATTGAGAGATGAGAGGAGAGAGGGGTGTACGGACATAGCCCTGCAATTATTCAGAACAGTCCTGCTGCCATCTTGTGGCATTATGTGCGTATTACAGGCTGGAAATGTTTTTCATCATAACTGAAGAGCTGACTCTGATGTTCTAATCAATCAAGTTAGTTCTAAGTTGAAATATGTTGCTGCCTTTTTTATATTCCCCAACAGTATAAGGAGGTTGGGACTCTTGTTTTATTTGTATTCCCTCACATATGCTCTAAGAAGTAAAGGGTGTCTCGATATATACCTTCATCAATGGAGTTAGAGTTAAGTAAAGTTCTTAAACCTTCATCTGGAGGCAATTGAAAGGAAGAAACGGCAGGAAAAGAAAAAAGCAAGGACATTTCCCCCAGGATTTGAATTACATGTTGTGTGTGTGGAAAAGACACATAACAATAGTGAATAATGTACAATGTGTAAAATAAAATTATTGATACACCACAAGTCAAATATAACCTTTGTAACATATAAGTGGAATGCCAAACCCGAGAGACTTTACAAAATACTTTTATTTATTTATAACATTGAGATCAAACTATGTGAGTCGGAGCACTGGTCGAAAAAAACTAATAACCCAAAGGGACCAAAGGACCGAAATCTCCCCTACAAAACTAAAGTAACCTTGATAAAATAAAGTCGCAAACAAAGTGGGGAAAGCATTTTTAGAGTCTCTCTCCCAGCCCTGCAGGAGGCCTCCTCACTGATTGCCTGATTGATTTCAGGTGTGTCCCTGTTCCGGGCTTCAGGTGGTAGTCTGGAGGAAGAGGCTCTGATCATACAACACACGCTGTTTCTCCCAATGTCCACTGCAGTCTGAACACACCTGCTTGGAAATGGCTGGCAGGTAAGGTTTCATCACATCACGTCACTCTGTGTCGGTTAACAATGTCTACAGGCTTTCTGGATCTTTATGTCAACCTAAACTGTGTATTACTTGTCTAGTTTGTACTGAGTTGTTCTTTCAAATAGCCTATAGTGTTTTAGCTAGGTAACCCACAAAGGGGCATTTGTAAAAAAAAAAAAGGCCAAGTAATTAATTAACTTACCGAAAAATACAATTTTACACACTTGAGTATCTTTATCGTTGCGCTTGTTTACATATTTTCGTTGTTTTGAATTAAAACAAATGTTGTATTTTTAAATGTCCTTTTTTATAATTGCTTTTAATGTTTTCTTTTGTTGTTTTTTCTTTTGTTCCACTTTCCAGTAAACTTTTTATTTTAAATAACCTTTCAGCAGTTTGTATAGCCCATGATGGAAAGGAGCAGGGAGAAGACAGAATTATTTTTTACCTGCCCCTTACTCAAAAGAAGTCAGTCAATTGCAGCTGCCAATAATAAACTACATTACAGTAACTTGAAAAAAAAAACTAAAAACAAAACAATCTACCAGCAAATAAAGAAAGAGAAGAAAGAAAAGAAGAAGGAACCCTTAATAGTCCTACAGAGGGGACATTTTACATTCTGCATTTGACCCATCCTAGTGTTAGGAGCAGTGGGCTGCCATTTTGTACGGCGCCTGGGGAGCAGTGTAGGGAACGGTGCCTTGCTCAGGGACACCTCGGTAGCACTTGGTCTTTCCGGGACTTGAACTGGTGTCCTTCCAGTTCCCAAGCCAAGTCCCTACAGACTAAGCTGCCACCACCCTAAAGATGTTCATACAGACCTCTTTTAACTTTTAGGTAAAGAATAGCTCATATTCTGAATTTAAGAAAAACAATCTTATTATGTTTTCTGGTAATATTTAATTTTTTTTCTGTCTGCAATTTAATTAAATCTTTAAGATAATTTCCTTCTTGTTGAAATGGGATAATAAATGTACCCTTACCCTTGGTTTGATCTTTTCGTTCAAGAATTACCGGTCCCAAAGTGTTACGGTTCCTTCGGAGCCTGACCCGTAAGAAGCCTCTGGAGCCAGAAGGCGAGGAGTCCAACTTCTGCCGATGCCTGACCACATGGGACCTGGTGGGTCTGGGTGTTGGGAGCACGCTGGGGGCCGGTGTGTACGTGCTGTCCGGAGAGGTGGCCAGGAATGTGTCCGGCCCCAGCATCATCATCTCCTTCCTGGTGGCAGCCGTGGCTTCGGTTTTTGCGGGGTTGTGCTACGCTGAGTTCGGAGCCCGGGTCCCCAAGACTGGCTCGGCTTACCTCTATTGCTACGTGACCGTTGGAGAGGTGTGGGCATTTGTGACTGGCTGGAACCTGCTGCTGTCATACGTGATTGGTACATTAAACACACAATAAGGTGCATGTGGTCTCCAAGACAAACATACAAAATGCAGTTGCCTGTTTATCTTGTAGCATCATACTTTGGCTAAAATGCCCTTGGTCAGTTATTGTCTATAATTAAAGCTCTTTACACACAGTGGCATATAGAAGAGTATATAAACTTACAGAAACACCAACGTTCAACCGGGATTCCATGTTTGAAGCTGACTGCATTCCCCCAACGGCCTGCCTTGACCAACCAAGCGTATGAGCGTAGCTTTATTTGGCTAGATGTTGGTTTGAATTGATCTAGAATCGATAGCATTTTCTTGGGTTCCCGGATGTTAAGTCTGCATTTTATACATGGTATTTTTGCAACTGAATTTGGCCAATCGAATTCAAGCAACTTTAAATGTATACACTGATATTATTTAAACGTGAAGTTTTTATTCTGAATACGTGACCGAACGGAACATTTTCTTTTGGAAATTTTGAACAATGACATTCGGAGGCAAAAATGTCAGGTACATCCTTTCTGTGTATAATTATTCGGCATTTGCATAATTATTCGGCATTTGAATTCAATCGATTGGAACAAATTTACTTCCACAGGTGTCCATATTCACGATCAAAGGTTGGCAAATGGATATCATCATTCCCATTTTTGCCGCGTACATGACATATCAGAGTTATCATATGAGTTTCCAACTTCCATGTCAACATCCAGGTCATAATCGAAACTTTCTAAAAGCTCTTATAAGACCTTGATGACAGTTAATGAACAAGTTTACTAAAATGTAATGGATATATTCAAGTGAATGGATGTAATGTTTGAATCTTTTAATACCGCAAACTTCTTGAAGAATGCGTACGAGTTGTTGGGAATGTTTCCCATTGATCCCACAAAAATACGGCATTACAAATTGCAGTCCTGAAGAATTATTGACCATAATTTACCTGGTCGTAAATCACAGACAAACCGATGCCTTTATTGTTTTTGGTTCTTCTCAGGAACATCTAGTGTAGCCAAAGCCTGGACTGGGACCTTTGATGACCTGATACACAACGTTATTGCTGAAACTCTGGAAGAACATACACCAATGGACTCACCGGGCTTGGCTACATACCCAGACTTCTTTGCTGCTGCGCTGATTATGCTGCTTGCTGGTAATATCTGTAATGTTACGTAAAGATAAACAACGCAGAATTCAGTCACATTTTATAGCTTTTCCTTTATTTTTCAGGTATTCTTGCTTATGGCGTGAAGGAGTCGGCCGTTGTGAACATTGTTTTTACTGCAGTTAACATAACTGTGCTGATTTTTATCATCATCTCTGGCTTTGTAACTGGAGAGATCAACAACTGGCGCATTAGTGAGGAGACTATCCTGAACGCAACCCGACTCAAGGAGTAAGATTTGTCCTTTTACACATTTGGCGTTCAAATGATCATCAATCTGTTTTTCCTTCAAGGATCAGCTCACTTAAAGTCAGTGTTGGGTGTAACGCGTTACATTAATGTATTACTTTTTGCTGTAACGAAGTAATGTAGCGCATTACTAATGAAATGTGGGTAATACACTACCAGTTACAATTCTCAGTAACGCAGTTACAACACATTTTAAGCCGAAATTAAATGGTGTTTTGTTTTTTTAAGAATTTACCAACATTGCGAGACATTCCGATACCAGAGAAAAATTGAGCGGATAGATTAGTAATAATAATAATAATAATAAATGGGATTTATATAGCGCTTTTCTAGACCCAAAGACGCTTTACATTATGAGTCAGGTCGACAAACAAAACAAGAACAAAAACACAAACCAAAACAAAAACAAAAAAGCAGTCATGAGGATGTTGGTTCAGAGGGGGGAGGGGCGGGTTTAAGGATAAGCAGAGTTGAAGAGGTGGGTTTTGAGACGGGACTGGAACAGGGTGAGGGAATCAGACTCACGGAGGTCTTGGGGGAGGGAGTTCCAGAGCTTCGAGGCTGCCACAGAGAAGGCTCTGTCCCCGAAGCTCCGGAGTTTGGCCTTGGGGATTGAGAGCAAACCGGCTGAGGTGGATCTGAGGGACTGGGGTGGTTGGTAGAGGATGAGGAGGTCAGTGAGGTAGGGTGGGGCCAGATGGTGGAGGGCTTTATAGGTGAGGACCAGGAGTTTGTAGTGAATGCGGTGTGAGACGGGAAGCCAGTGGAGTTCTTTGAGGACCGGGGTGATGTGATGCCATGATTTGGTGTGGGTGAGGAGTCTAGCGGCTGCGTTCTGGACACGCTGGAGTCTGTTGAGGGATGTTGTGCTGATGCCGAAGAGGAGTGAGTTGCAATAGTCAAGGCGGGAGGAGATGAAGGCGTGAATGAGTCGCTCAGCTGCGGGGCGGGTGAGAGAGGGACGGAGTTTGGCGATATTGCGGAGGTGGAAAAATGAGGTTTTTACAACTTGGCAGATGTGGGGGTCGAGGGAGAGGGTGGGGTCGAATATCACGCCAAGGTTGCGTGCCTGGGTGGAGGGGGAAACAGGGGTGCCATCGATGGTGAGTGTCAGGTTGGGGGTTTTGCTGAGGGTTGATTTGGAGCAGATGAGGAGGAGTTCAGTTTTATTGCTGTTGAGTTTGAGGAAGTTGTGTTGCATCCAGGATTTTATTGCAGTCAGACAGGATTCGATGTGTGTGAGAGGGGGGTTGTGGGGGGATTTGGTGCTGAGGTAGATCTGTGTGTCGTCAGCATAGCAGTGAAAGTCCAGGTTGTGATGGCGGAGAATCTGACCAAGGGGGAGGATGTAGATGATGAAGAGGAGGGGGCCGAGTACTGAACCTTGG